CACCGCTAATTTTGGCTGCTTTTACCCTTCTGTCTGTTTAAGATCACCTTTTTCAGTATCCCAGCAGCAGCATGCACGACGGAGAGCCCATCCGGACCGGGAGCTTTGCTCGTGGGCATGGCTTTGATCGCATGCCAAATCTCGTCCTCGGAGAACGGCCGTTCAAGTGCCATTCGATCAAAGTGCTCGGGGTGGATCTCCTCCCAGGAGAGGGAGAAAGCACGCTCCTCGGAAGATCCAACGATGGTCGATGAGTGGTCGAAGGCCGCCTCCGCAAGGGCAGCCGGCTCGGAGACGGTGTTGTTGTCCATGGAGCCCGGAGATCTGGTTTCTCTGGTGGCGGTGCGCGGCGCGAACACGTGGGAACGCGGAGCTCGCGCTTGAGCCAAGCAAAGCGCGACCGCTGCCTGGCAATGGAGCGATCCAGGGATGCTAGACCGAGGTTGACGGAGGCCGGAAGTCCTGCGCAGCGTCCAACCGAGCGGTGAGCTCACGTGCCACAAGGAGCTGGAGCTAGATAAATGTTATTTTTTAGGTTTATTCCGGTGATGGAGATATCTAGGCAAGAAATAAAAGAAAGATTCAAAAGTGAGAAACAAATGAGGTAAAGTAAAAAAGATTTCACAATAATAACCGTCTCGGTCTTAGTCAAACGAGCTGAAAACTTGTGGAATTCTTGACGAACAGCTCCAAGCTGCCCGTGGTTCCAAAAGTTATGCAACACGCATGGGGGAGTATGCAAGAACTAGACAAAGGAGACAGCTGATCATCTATCTGCTTCTATCATGGAAACAAATTCTTTTACTGCGCATTTTCTCACTGCACGAAAAATGACCAGGATGATAGCATTTTGCTCCCTTTTTTTTTGCGAGAGAAATTTCCAATCTATTCATCAATCATGGCAGTACAGAGAACACAAGAGGTGATAAAAATTACAACTAGGTCTATGGACCACCTAGCGACGACTACAAGCACTGGAGCGAGCCGAAGGCGCGCCGGCGTCATCACCCCTCCATCACCGGAGCCGGACAAACCTTGTTGATAGCAACATTGGACGAAAGGTCCTCCTCACAATCTTTTTCTTTTTTTTGAAACGGAGGCAAAAGTTTTGCCTCGTATGTTAACTAACTAAGAAGAAGAGAGTTGCCTAATTAATTTACAGGGGGAAACCCGTACAATCATTGAGTGCATGCATATGCACATGATGCAAGGAATGACATTTTCTAGTGTGCCCAACTTTTAGCCTTATTTTCTTTTCGAGATGAACTTTAGCCTTCTAAAAACTTTTTTTTGTACCAATACATGTCATCATGTGGGGTTCCGATCATGGGGATAATAGTATGAACCAAATAAAGTAGACAATTCAAAGTTTTTTTTCTCTCGACCATTCACAGTTGCATGCTGACATTTACTTATGACATCACACGTTCCTATTAACATGCTGATTTTTATCATCACCAATGATATGTGCATGCATGTAGCGATCTATCCCAATCGCTTGCGATAAGGAATTGTAGCTAGATGTGCCTCCTTGATTAGTTTTATTTTACCACCCTACAATGTTGAATTGGTCAGGGAAACGCCATTGATTTAGCATGGGGCAGGGCTCAATAATTAATCAAATAGAACCACATATGTAATACTGCCTGGAGATCACATACATGCATGTAAGATACGGAACCTCCAACAGCCACATCATGCTTTTGTGTCTTTAAACAATCCACACGCTATATGTTACATGCATACAGGAAAGCAATTGTCCCGATTTGCATCGATATTTTCGGTACCTACAGTTAATACCGGGGTTAGCTAGCTAAACATGAGCTGCAGGCCGGCTGGTTTATTGGCAGTAAAGAACACAAACTTTGGACCATCATATGGAGTAGTATCAGGTTTTCCTCGGGGAGAACGAAGATTATGAGATGAGGGGAAAAGATGGGAATGTTAAAAATACTCCCTCGGACACGTCGGATCCCGCACATAAATTCTAAAGTGTTTGGTCCCGAGCACCCCTGTGCGAAGTACGAGCTAGCGGCATTAAAGTGGTTCACTCAGGATGGAAGCAATGCGTGTTTGGGATGGAAATTTCTATTTTTAGAGCTTGACAATTTTCACCTTTTTTTTCTTGATGCAATATGGCAATTCTCTTCAGTCAGCATGACAATTTTTATTATTTTCTTTTTTAAGGCTGGCAATTATCCATGTTGTAATCATGGCAAATACTCTATTGCAGCATGATACTTTTCTGACAATCTTTTATACAACACGGCAATCTTTACTTTAGAAATGACAAATTCTTTTGCAACAGCATGCATCTATTTTCATGGCCATTCTGGAGCGTTCGCTGGAAGTGGGTTTTTTTAGCAAACAAAAACATTTGTCCGCTCTTATTAACTAACTGACAGGGGAACGATCGTTCGCTCGGTTTTACCCCCCGAGGGAACGAACGTCGGATGTGTATTGACGTAAAAAAGGAAAGAATTTTCGTCTGATGGACGCACATGGATCTACTTTGTCAGGGCCAGAAGGCCTTGGCTACAAGGCGATGAAATTTGGGAGGGAGTGAGATCGCAGCTCACAAAATCGGGCAACGGAAGCGCTAGTGCACCAAGTTGTTGAGGGCGCCAGCAAGTGGTCGTCTGTCCTCTGTGTGTGTACATCGTACTCTGCCTCCACGACGCCGTTGACCTACCGCTGTCCAGTGTGGATGCACGAATTTTCTTTGGTCAAGGCTCGTCGGACTCGGCAGCATTTGCCTCGTCACATGGCCGGGCGTCACCAGCACCAGCTAGCTAAAATTTTCTTTCTGGGAGGCACCACTCCCTGTTCCTCGGCCTATATATGGAGGCCATTTGTGTTTGTCTATGCATCGTGCAGCGAGACACACACAGAGACAGAAAAACAGACAGACAGACAGAAATACCTTTGAGCAGCTGATGAGCGCTTGAGTTGTTGTTGCTGTTCGTGTGGGTTAGGGCCCTGTGCTCAGGAGAGATGACACCGACGCCGATCAGATGGGTCGGCTTAACCAGGCGTCTGTTCGGAGTTGGTGTCACCTCGCCTGAACATAGGGCTCACTAGCCCTGTCAAAGCACCAGCTTCAGAGGAGAGGGGAGCACAGGTGATAATGCAACTGCAGCTGAGCACCGCCTCCTCTTCCTCTCCTCCCGTTTCCCTCCGCGTTTCCTCTTGCAGGTCGGGTCAGCTGGAGACGCGGCCGTTCCGTCATGGCATGAGACGCACGCAGCGGGCTGGCGGATGTTGGAGCTGGGCGGCAGACGGCCACACGCAGAGGCTGGCCAGCCATGCATCGATCCATGGAACGAATCCCAGAACAATTCGTCCGTGAAGCATCGCCATCAACTCGAGCTCCACTCCGCGTTTCCTCTCTCGGTTAGTGTTTTTCAGTAGATGCCTGTTGTGTATTTGTCTACTTCGCTCTTGTGGCGCTTTGTTGTAACATCTCTGATGAAAAACATTGCTTGCTCGAGGGAAGGTGCCAGTTTAATGCTGCTATCGTTTTCCCCTGCAGGAGAATGAAGGCGGCCGTGCGTGCAGCTCCCAGCTGAGCAAGACCGCCAATTTCGGCTGCTGGCGTAAGATCGCCTTATTTTTCTGATTGCAACGAGGTTGTTGGCCTGCACTCTGTTCTCTGCTGGGTGTAACCGGCTGGGTTAGCTTTAAAATAGGTTCTGACTTCTAACAAATTGTTGGCTGCAGCTTTGTTTTGTGGCGAATATTGCTTCCTTGGTTCTGCTTTGCCTTTCCCACTCTATGAACCTCGGCTGAACTATGCTGTAAGATTTCTCGATCAAAAATTCGATGGTTGGTTAGGTCCACCCCTGTTTCGTGTTCTCTGCATCGGAGCCACATTATCACTGCCGCTTTTCAGCGACATGGTGAAAGCGCTATCGCTCAAGAATGCTAAAATTAACTCAAGATACCGAGTCCAGTTTCCAACATTTGACATACTCAGACATGCATATCAAGCAGCGGCGTAGCCAGGCCCCGGGCTGCCCGGGCCATGGCTGGGGCGTGAAGAGAAAACTCATCATGTACTGTAGCAACAAGGCTGGCCCGGGGCGTAGGGATTTCCTGGCTACGGCACCACCTGCCTCCCACCCCGGGTCACCAGTATTCCGGGTTCATTCATCCCGAATTCCTGTTAAGCTCATCTTCGTGATATCTTCATTTCAAATTTGTAGCGCACGATGCGCTTGCATCACCATGTTTACCACTGATCAAGGTGGCTCAACGAGCGGCGTAACTCTCAGATCTCCATTTGAAGCATATCCGCAAATGCATAACCCCTTGGGAATTCACAGCTCCACTATCTAGTTAGCCTTTCAAATCAAACAAGAGATGGAACAGCCACCACTATCATTTTGCCTTTTTTTTCTTCTTAAGAGTCCAAACTTGTCAGGCACACCGCACAAACAAATGCTCAAGTTTTCAGTACGCGTTCTAGCTGCGTCTGTCCCCGGCGCGTACCAGCAATAGCACATTATAGCAGGCTTCAGTCACCAAGACCGATACCGTATACTATTTCACTTAAATACTGATCAAATTCAGGATGAAATCGCAGTCATCCAAAACAAACCCCAACCCAAGTACGCCAAGAAGTACATTGCCACAGGGGTGTTTAGATGGATTAAACTTTTCAAATGAATACACGTACAGGCTTTGCATTGTTCTAAACAATGTGACTGGGATATATCTAGCTATTTACAGTTACAAGGTACTGGGGATCAATTCACACAGATAAGTATGACCATTAGCAGGTTATGACTTATGTGCCACTTTCGGTTTATACTCAACGCCTTGCTGAGTAACCTTCTCTGTTGGTCACCTAAACTTCTCCCAGACTATACAGTATATTAGCGGATTGGTCGTGTCTGAATTCGTTCCCCCATGTGCCATATAAAGTTTGTTAGCACCTCCGGAGTTTATATGCAGGGCTGGCCATCAAATTTCTACAGTGCAAGTGCTACCAGCAAGAGTTAGGCAAGAAGAGGCTCCACTAGAGGTCTCCGTCGAGCTTCAGGGAGGTCCATGGTATGAGCTACTATGGCTGAAAGAAGCGAGAAGACGGCTGGAACTAGCCCCAGACCGAGTCTCGTAACGGAATAGCCGTATGCCAATTCTTGGTTCTCACTGATCTTGGTGCTTCCTGCCACGCAAAAAATGAAAATCTCATTGTGTATACAAATCCATTTGTTGTGAGTAATCATTAGTGTGCCAAGATACCAATAAGTAGCATTACCTTGGTAGGACTCGAGGATATACAACGCTATGCCACATGACACTTTGTCAATAAAACTTAAAGAGCCGTATACAAAAGCACAACCATTTAGATCTTCTCCTACTAAAACACCTTCCATGCTGATACTTGTGACCTGTAATCAAAGGAAACCGAAGAGATCAGAGTGACGAAAAGTGAGCTCCCAGCCTATAACATGATTATGCATCACATACACAAATGTAGACATGTTCAATTGCAAATCTTCAAGAGGCTATGAAATGCTCACAGCAAGGCATAGACCAAATGGATATATATGTCAGAGTTGTACAAGCCCACATGGCTAACAACTACATATAACATATACTTCTAAGCCAAATACATAGGAATTTTTCACCATGAATTTGTACATGTATATTATACTAAATTGACTCTTTAAACTGAATCAAGGTTAGAAACATACTGTCATAAGTGCATTGGCCGCTCCTATCGTGATTGAAAGGGCATACATGAAGTTGTGCATACTGCTTGGTAAGAGAACAATTCCAATGCCGGACAATATCCAAATCATTGCTCCAGCTGAGAAGTAGTTTTTTAGACGCCAACCCGACCATCTAGTCTCCTATAAAAATATAGAATTCCATTGAGTTGGTTCCTCCAAAGAAATATGCTCCCCATTGAGTTGAGGAAGAAAATAAATTAATTAAACTCTAAGAAGATAGTCGGACCTGTAACATGACAGATACTACCAAGCTGCATACATAGATAATAGCAGGTACCTGAAAAACAAAATGAGCAAACACTAATTCATGGAAATTTAATTTTATGAAATGTATCAAGAAACTATCTAAATTAATCAACAGTATGAACTGGATTGTGGACCTCAATTGAAAAAGGAAAATATCAACAAGTAGTATCACTTTCAGCATTCAGATTATACTGAGAGCGAGCATTTGAGTGCCTGATTGGACTACATGTATAGTGTAACTCATGCAAAGCAAGCTTACAAAATTGTCGCACCTGCATCATAAGTTCTATTGATTTTTCTTCTTCTTCTAATTCAGGCATTTATATTGCACATGTATCACATGAGTTCAACTTGCCCATGGACATAATCAACATCAGGATGAAAAAATCATAAGAGAGACATTCCAAGAGCAAAAGGGGAAAGAAAATCTTACCAGCGCTTTGGAAGATTGGTGCATTCCCAAATCATTTATCACGTAGAAAGCAAGAAATGCCTGATCAAATATATATAAACATTATAAACGATCTGCTATCCGGTTGAAGTTCAAACTTCGAAGAATTAAGGGGGTACAATGAAATTATAGAGAAAATAAGAGTACTGCAATATAATAAGAGTACTGCAATGAAATTATAAATGATTTGCAATATTTGATATCCAATCTGTCCTTGACTGTGTAATACATATATTAAATTATATAAGAATACCTACAAGGAACTAAATATCTTTTTTTTATGAAGACAAGACCCCAAATTCGAGCAGAAGAAAACTAGAATTTGGGTGGTGCAATTTTACATCCATTCCCTCACCCCGCTGAGCTAGGCTCAGTTCCTATAACATACGAAGGTACACTAATATACTAGTAATATATATATTGAGCATTTTCTATCTTTAGTATGTCGGTATATTTTAATGTTATCTTCCATAAATTGAAACAAACATAATCATAAGATAGTTACAGCACAGAAAAAGATAGTGAAAACCAATCAAGGATACATGTGATGCGTAACACCGCATGTGCGACTGAACTGTTAAATATTTCATACAAAAACATCTAAAGAAAATGCTGTTTAATAATTAATGTGTGAAAAAATTTAGTTTTTCCAAGAAATTTAGCCATGTTTCCCCATGCCATGGTACACCATTGACAGCGCGGTCTACTCCGAGTAATATACCATAATCCACAAGAGATGTCCTTTACCATACATGGCATTCATCAAATAATAATCTAAGGCTTGAAAAAGATCAAGTAAAGTACAAGGCAGTAAACTAAATGGAATGAACAAAGTTGTTTGGTCTCATAATCACGTAGCTTAAGATTACTAGATACCTGCGAAACATTGGTTACCAATCTAGTGCACATGTAGACTAGAGCAACTTGGTAGTACAATACTTTCTTGAACCAGTGGGCCCATGAAATTCTGGAGAGGCTCTTATCCTGAGAAGGTTGATTTAACCTACAGAATTCAAAGTTAGAAACAAACTGAAAATAAAATAGAAGGAAAACATACTGAAAGTTAAGAACATTTTCAAAAGAACATGGCATTAAAACTTTGTAATCCAGATGTCCAAACAAGGTTTCCATCTTACCCTGGCTCTTTTGTTCCAATCAAGAACGCGACAACAAAACAACATCCGATGGAAATGGCCGTATAAGCAATCCAACGATACTGAGCAAAAGGATTTGAGAAATTTAAGATAAAACAAGAACTCAGATAAATGATAGTATATATTACTTAACACAAGAAAGTACCTGAACTAATACACTCACTGACCGCATTAGAGTAAATATCAACAAAGCAATGCCATACAAGCTAAGATTTGCGACCTGGAATAAGCGTGAAAAATGAACATGTCAGGGACAGTTATTCAGATACCTAGACACAGTAAAATCAAGGCAGAGTAAGGTGTACCATCGTGAAGGCATTGCGGCAGCTCACTAGTGCAACCCGACTTGTTGGGTTTGACGTCATGCAGTTCACCATTGACCTTGGAAATATATAAAAGATATACACAAATGATATGCTGAAATCACAAGAAAAGCATGAATGTAAGTAATGAAAGGAAGGAGCATTACATGTGAGCGACTTGGGTAACTGCCCAACCAACATTAAAAATAGAGGCAAATATGCTGTATCCAACAGTCTCCAGAGTTGACGAATTAGTCCCCGTGAGTTTGCAAGGCAAACAGCTACCAAAAACAGATGAGAAGGAAATTGCTACTAGAATAGATCCTCCTGCATGCCACAGTTTGAAATGTCCAAAACGATCAATCTGAAACAAAAATGATTCATTTATGTATCTACTTCGGAGCAATACACGGTAAATACAGAGAAACCCTAGAAGTGAATGCCGAAAGAGAAGCAATCAAACATATATTATATGATATCAGAAACTTATAACAGTGCAGTAATATAAATCCTGTTCATTTTGCCACATACCAGCTCACCAACAAAGATTGTTGTGAAGCCATCCGCCAACTGACCGGAAAGCATGACAATAGCAGCATCACTGCAGAGTTGAATAAAAGGTGAATTGCCTAAAAGAATTCTGAAGCAACAAGTAATCATTTCAAGCTTTTTCGACATCTCAGGCAGAATATTTCTCGAAGCATGAAGTGTCTAAATGGTCCATTTTCAAATAGCATCACAGATGCTTCATATATGACAAATGTTTCCTACAACCGGGTGTAGTTAAACCCACGTGCATTTCATTCATTCTAGGTAATATCTATCATACCGGAGCGTATGCACGCAGTATGTAATACTATATAAGAATACTTGGATAGTCTATATATATACTACTTTTTGGGTAGGATGTTCCATATTTTTAGCATGCTCCTTTTTACATACAAATTTGTATGTATTCCACAAATATAGTAAAAACTATGGACTCACTTCCAGTTTTTCATGTAGCTCACTCTGGAATACCTTAGATATAGTATATGAACATACTAAAAATGATAAAGTAGTATATATACTAACACATGGTAGTATATGAGATGTGGGTGTAACTACACCTGGTTTCTAGGATGTATTTATACATAAAGATCAAGGGATAATAGAAAATGCAATATATATTATCACACCTAAAACATAATGAAGTTTAATATGAACTTATATCTGATGCATTTATTTGCGTAAAGATTTATAACAAAAACTTTAAGGACTGCAGGAATGCCTTCATTCAATATGATTTCGCAACATCTGAAAGAACATAATATAATGATTTAGAGTACAAATGGAGAAGAAAAAAATTATAATCCTACTACATACCTTGGACTAAGGCCGACGTCCGTCAAGAATACCAACAAATATGTAAACCAACAAGATGATGTGATATCATTTAGCATATGCCCAGAGCCATAGGAAAAGATTGGCACCCTTCCTAATGGCTCATCCCATTCTAATTCACTTGATGGCTCAGTACCAATCATTTTAACCATTACTTGACGTTGGCAAAACTATGAAGTATCACCTACATTACAAAGGAACACACATTTACATTTAATCCACTGTGTAAATAACATGGTATGAGTCCCTACTTTCAAGAAAAAGAATGGTACTGCAAGTTTTTTTAAAGTATTATGGCAAGTGGTGATAATGTCAGCATTCTTTACATGATGCAAAAAAACATAAACACAAGGTCTGTCTGTGGTACTTAGTGCAAGGTCTAAAGCTATATCAAACGAGTATGGACTAATTTCTTTTACTGTGATGTTATTCAGCAGTAAATGCAAGGTATCGACCGTATTACAAGTTTCAGCAATAAATGCAAGGTATTGACCGTATTACAAGTTTCAGCAATAAATGCAAGGTATTGACCGTATTACAAGTGTCAACTGGGAAGGCATTCATATTTTCTGGACTCCAGAAGATAGTAACATTTGATTGGTCTCAAGTTAGAAGAGATCAGTGAAATTTCCAGGTAATGCAATGATACAAAAAGAAGGTCCCTCCCATGTTCATTTTCTGCTTTCTTTCTACTCCCCACTTTCCTCTCTGCCTTTCCCTCCTACCTGATCCTAATGCATATGCACAAAAGGAGCGAATTCCAACATGTGCATTACAAAGGAACACACATTTAACTCACTGTGTAAATAACGTGGTATCACTCCCTGCTTTCAACAAAAGGAATTGTACTGCAAGCTTTTTTAAAGTTTTATGGCAAGTGGTGATAATGTCAGCATTCTTTACATGATGCCAAAAAGCATAAACATAAGGTCTGTCTGTGGTACTTATTGCAAGGTCTCAAGCTATATCAAACGAGTATGGACTAACTACTTTTACTGTAATGTTATTGAGCAATAAATGCAAGGTATTGACCGTATTACAAGTGTCAAATGGGAAGGCATTCATATTTTCTGGACTCCAGAAGATAGTAACATTTGATTGGTCTCAAGTTAGAAGAAATCAGTGAAATTTCCAGGTAATGCAATGATACAAAATGGTCTCTCCCACTCGACAAAGTGAGGTTCATTTTCTGCTTTCTTTCTACTACTCCCCCATTTCCTCTCTACCTTTCCCTCCTACCTGATCCCAATGCATATGCACAAAGGGAGCAAATTCCAACATGTGCACCGCGACTGTGAGCGGTGACACCGAGCAGTAAATGAACTGAACCCACGAAAACACCAGATTTCTGAACTTGATATATACAGTACAGACTAACGAAATCAACAAAACTGCACAAAGCCGCCTTAGGCAAGATATTGTAGTTATCCAGCTGGCTCTGAAATGGCCAATCCGCCGTGTTTGCTCGAGACGCCCCCAAATCCGGAAATCCCATCCCACGGCGGTCAACGAGAAGCCCCGACGGGCAGCAAGCAACCCACCCACACAGACCCAAACCAGGCAAGAAAACCCCCGGAGCCGATCAAACAGGGGCCAGCAGAGAAGCTCTCACCAGCAGCCGCAGCGTGGCGATCGCCGCCCGTCCGCCCGCGCGTCCGGCCGGACCTGCGCAAGCACGCGTCCCGAAGAGCGTCGGGGCCGCCGGGGCAGACTATTTTCAATGACTATATTTGGGGAAAATGAGGAAGCGACGGACGGGTATTGGGTACGGGCGACGTCGCGTGGACGGCAGGCGGAGATGCGGGGGGACGCGACAGAGACGGGCGGACTCGGTGCTGCCGGAGGAGGACAGGCCACTACTGGGACGGGACGAGACGGGGCCGACGAGAAGAGAGCCGAGCCGACGGGAAAAGAAAGCAGGGGGGCGGGGGAGAGACGACTATTGGTTGGGGCTGGGCCGCCACTATCCGAGAAAAACGGAGAGGCACGGGCCGGTGGGCCCGCCGAGGCGGTTAGGATATTCTTTCCGGAACTGGTGCGCGCCGCGCGTCCGCTCGTCCGCGGGCCGAGGAGGGAGAGGAGTGTCCCGGTACGGCGAGATTCATGCCATATTTGCCTCCCTGGTGTGGTGCCGTGCGGCCTGGGCGGACCGTGTGAACGGGTCTTGTTTGTTGGTCAGTGGCCGATTACCAAAGCGTTGTCGTTGTCCATGTTCCTTCGGGAAGAAGTACTTGTTCGATTTGCAATGCAATCCGGTGAGATTGTCAAAGAAGACGGAGCACCTGCTTGGCTGGAGTGGCGTTGCAGACAGCTCAGCCGGCGAGGTGTGCTTATAAAGAACAGCCGGTGAGCGTGTAGTTTAGGCTTTCGGAGGAATCATCGGGTACACTAGGCCTATATTTGCGTTCTACGGATGTCTAAGGCCTCCTTTGGTTTATAGCATAAGAATTTTATAGGAATAGGCAAATTATATGAATTGAGATGACATGCATCTCAATTTCTTCAGAGAAAAAAATGTCATTTGATGCATAGGATGGGAATTTTTCCATTAAATCTAGGCTAATGTTTTTTTCCTTCAAAATGTGAAGGATTGATTCCTATCCTACATAGAAATAGAAACTCATTCCTACAAATCAAAGGGCTTCAAAAGAATTTTTTCTTTGCAAATACTATCTTATAGAATTTTTATAAAATTCCTACAAACCAAAGGAAGCCTAAGATTGCGCATGAGAGAGACCCTGCAATTGTTTTGTACTACTACTACTGTAATCAATTGCTCAGCCCCTCTAAGCTGACTTTTGGAGCTCCGCTGACATTAGGAGGAGGAGCTCTAATCAACAGTTTCCAAGGCCAGGTTCTTCTGCAGCATGATTGCCTTGCGCGTATCATAGATAAATATGATGAATGGGAAATATCATAAGATAATACTTCAAGGTTAACGGGCCCCAACATAAGAACATGTAGAAATGTCAGAAAAGAAGCAAGATACGAATTGTACAAAGATTTAGATAGCTCACATTTATATCTCAAAGAATTATTATTTTTGCAAGGTATATCTCAAAGAATCCTACATACTTAAAAAGTTCACCCCCACTACTTGATTTATGTTAACATGTAGCATAGACACATCAGCATCCATTTACATCTAGCCACGTCACGCCTAATGCAGTCCCACTTAGGACCACATCCTCATACCTGAACAAATATTTTCATCATCATTTGTTTTCTGAAATAATTGTTTACAAGTAATTAGTTTTCACACCGTGGGACACAAACCACCCATCTCTTCTACTCTCGCCTCCCCATCTTCTCCGCCCCTATCCCTTCCTCTTATCTCTGGGATAAATAAATTCCCTTCCTAAACTCTTCTTCCTTCCCCTTTCTACGGTAGCCCATGACTGTGGGCATCCATCTCCACATGAGGCACTCCTCCGGCACAATTCATCCGTCCTGCATTGATCACTGCCTCCGGCGCAACCGCTGGTCTAGATCACCTCTGCCGCTTACCAGGATCCCCCCTTGCCGGTGGGATGCGTGTGTCGTCAAGCCAGTGTCGGATCCATCTCCCTGTGAGGCGCTCCCCCGACACAATATGCCCGCCCTGCACGTTCGCTGCCTCCGGCACAATGGCGGTCCAGATCACCTCTGCCTAATCGTCAGGGGGCTCAGTCAACGACGTCCTCCACCACGGCCTCGCCCTGCAACATGTCTCCATCAAGGACATCGCCCTCGACCAAAACTGCGTCCAGGGGCACCACCAGTGCTGGTACATCGTCAACCTCGATCATTGATTGGTTCATTGATTCATTGATGACTATCGATTTTTTTTTCTTTGGTCAAAGAGACGGAGGTCGTGTATCTACTATCTAGGGGATGTTGAGCCACCGCACCTACCATAGTGGTAGCCATCTTTTGGCAAGCTGAGCTCCTGCATGTTAGTAGAAAATATTGCCCCTGTGCGCCCGTGATGGGTTTGCAGCAAGGGCAGCGACATGTTCTATAATATCTTCTTCAGGATTTATTCAGTATTCAGCATTTCCTTCTTACAAAAAAGTCACATTAAGCGTACAAAACCGATTGAAATCAACCCTCCCGTGCCTTCTGCTCCAGTCATAACTGACTGACTGATTGAGCCAGAAAGGATCCCATCGCGGCGCTTTTTGTCTCCATCGCTACCTTGGTGCGTGCTATACGAGTTTCTCATCTGCCCCACTTACTAATTATGGCTTTTAACAAACACAAGTGCACGTAGGAATCCAAGTAAATAGCAACGACTGCTATTAATTTGTTACAAATCTTTTCCCTTTGTCTCTCTCCAACCTTGATCTGAAATAGTTCTCCACAACAATTAAATCCCCCTGCTAAAACTGCTAACGGGTCCATCGTTTCAGCTTCAGGTTCATTCATCTCTTTAAACTGACCACAAGAAGGGGGTCCATCAAGGCTAGGGACGCATGTACATCACCTATGACCACCAATTCATAGTTTGTATATAGTGTGATCATCACTTGATGCCCCCGCCTGCTCAAAGTCGTTATCTCTGCCACCAACTTGCACTCTGGAATAGTTGTTCTCTCCCAATTTTTCATCTTCCCGTGCTTCTTCTTATCACTGATCTTATGGCTTTTAATTTTTCAGGTTACGTCTTACTTGAAAGGTGCCCGAGGTTTTATGGGCAAGGACCATCACTGGTTGTATCTTGCTATTCACGCTCATCTCTTAATTTTCTTATACATTGAATGAGCACACACATCTTTTAGTCTTATTTTATGTTAATTGTGTTGTTTGCATGAAACCCCCATCTTCGAATTTAAGTAGTTACATTGGATAAGCTTTGCAACTTCTGTTTGGAGTAGATAGCATAATACTTCCTCCTTTCCGGTTTATAGGGCTTTGACATGTCCATTTTGCATCATATTTTCTTACTGTTATTTATAATGTTTTTATCCATAATAATGCTTTTTTGAGTAATTCTAATGTCTTTTATCTCATAATATCCAAGGTATACACAAAGAGGGAGAATTCCGGCAGCTGGAAATCTGGACCTGAAAAAGCTACGTCAAACCACCTGTTCTGCACAACTCCGAACAAGCTGAAACTTCACAGAGATTTTTTATCAAATATATGAAGAACATTGGAGAAAATAACTACC